TGATGCTCAGCCAGAGCAGTTCAAAGCATGTATTGTCGGAATTTCTCCACTTGTTCCTTTTTTCAGATTGTTGCCGTGACAAAGAGTACAAGAATAACCCTGTATGATGTGAACAGTTGCACAGCAATTTGCCATGTTGGGCTGCCTGTGCCTTTCCTGCTCTCATGTCAGTCGCCTTGCATCTGCGCTGATGGGAAGGTCTTGATATTGATTGGCGCTCAGATGGATGAAGAAAATCATGATGACCTGGGCATCGAGGTAAGTGCACTATTACAAGTCTTCTGAAAGGATCAAGGAGAACCGTTTACTGGTGAGACTTTGCTACTTGATACAGATCTGATTCATAATGACTGTCTACCAAAGTGGGAATTGTTTTTTATTTGTACACCGATTCGAGATAACAACATGGAATTGTTTGGTTATTTCTTAGATAGCTTACAAAACAGGCGGATTAGCGGAGAAAAACTTTTAATCGCTTCATGCTATGGAAAGCTCTAGCATACTGTAGACTATGTAGATCAACCGCTTCATTGCAAATATTTTACGTTGTAGAGTTATATGAAATGCTATAGATTTATAATTTTCATTGTAATGTTATCTCAGCATTCGTTTTATCCGTGTACACTGTAGAAAATATCATTGCTGTTTGTTTTTCAGACAGCCGTGCCATTTTCATATCCTCTGCAACACTTTCCAACACTTAAAAAATACTGGAAAGAAGAGGTAACCGCTGACTCGTCACCGCACAAGCCAACCAACACCATTGATGCCAGACTGCATTCCCTCATACAAGACAGGTAAAAATAACTTGTTTAACAAGTAGTGCGCTGACCTCTGAATCGTCTGGCTACTTACCTTTTGACTTTTTGATCTGGAAATCGTTGGTTAATCGTTGGGTACGATTAATTAGAAATTGGATCTTGTGTCGCACAATTCACGGACTAATAATATTGTGCTTTTCAAATGGGCCTACCACTGAGCGTTGGTCCGATTTTAAAATTACTCACCCGATTACTCTCTGAATTGTAGACGGTCCAATTACTATTACTTATTAGTAGAATTCTACTTAAATAATAAGATTATTCGCTCTCGATTTCTATGAGGCGATAGTTGATTCGGTCTTCGGCCTCATCATCCTTAAATTGAAGGCGTCTTTCAGTTTGTCAGCAATTCATTGCCGGATCAGATACAGAAAACTAGTGAACACTTTCAGGGGCTGGACCTCGTAACTTCTTGCTTGTTGCGGCCTGCGTTAATATCCTGACTTCTTGCGGTTAGAGTTTCAACGTCTTGCGTTTAGAAAGGTTCTTGCGGATTAACCACATTTTCACTTCTCGCGCCGACTTGAGTGTTCTTCCGGGCGCAAAAACTTATTGCGCCACATTCTGAGCTTGCATTATTTCTAAAGGAGCTACGTCACGGTTTGTGCATCTTAAAAAGTTTAGTCTAAGTTTTTCAAGTTCGTCTGGTGTAATCTGTGTTAATCTTCTCCCTCCTTAACCAGCCTTGTTCCTTTGTGGTTTATTATTATTTCTTTGATGTTTTTCTATCTTAGTTAACTACTATTTTCAGGTTTCCTTCAGTTTAATGATAATTATGTACGTGGGCAAAATAACTCAAAATAGCGTGATTGAGCTCCTTTAAGCTGTACTGTAGACTGGTTGGAAAGAACATCAAGGGAATTTTATCACAATGTCAAAGTTCATATTTCATTGTAAATCGCTGTTTTTTAATTTCTATACTCTTCCTTTTTTTCTTTCATGAGGACTTCTCAGTCAAGAGAACAGACAACTGAGACTTCAGCAGCGGTGGTCTCAATATCAAACTGAATTGAAGAATATTCAGAACAACAAGATGAGAAAAAACCATTCCACTTGGCTCACTGCTAAATCTGTAAGTACCGCCTAATTTATACCTTGCAATTCAGGCCACGCACGTTCACACGACACCGGAGAAACTTATATATAAGTGATATAAATGACCAAACGTTTATGGTTTTGCTACATGATAATTAAATTGAGGCAATTACATACATGTACTCGCTTAGTTCTTGAAACATTGGACATAACTCGTTATGTGACTGATATTACGAAGATATATTTACCAAAACGAAAAACGAGTATGTAGTTGCCTCAATTCAATAATGACATAACAAGACGATAAGAATTGGTTTGGTCGTTTCTAACCCGTTTAATCATAACAATTACAATTTCCTCGATTGCGATTGGTTTTAAAAAAACTGCTTTTTTCCACTAACTCACTTGCCAAGTTGTTATCGGACAGTTTGTTATCGGACAGTTCAACAAGCCAATCAAGTTCAAAGTTGTAGTTTAAATCAACCAATCGCAACCTTGGTTTCAATTACCAGTAATTTACGCCTCCTTTGTCAGTCTTTTAATGCAAATATTTCCTTCCTTTCATAACTTAGCTATACTTCTTTTCTCGGAAATTGTCATTTTTTTTTTTTTGATTAATTGGAAATGAGACTTCGTGTCGTGCGATTCGGTCTGTAATCATACTCGTGATAAACAAATCAAACTCCCGCTGCGCGGTCGTCCCAGTTTGTTATCACGCGTATGATTACAGACCGAACTGGACTCCACTCAGTCCTATTACCATTACATGATTACGTAGATATACATAACAATGCTGTTTATTAAGAACAAAAGACCGAAACTGAACACGCAAGCGGATTCCATTCGCGCGAAACTTTTTACCTGAATGTTTTTATGTAACGTTTGCTAATTAATCCTAAGTACATGAAGTCGTCTTTACTAACGTTAATTTTTTGCTTAAATGAGTATGTAGTGGCCTCAATTAATTGTAAACCAAATAATAAGCAAGAGCTTGGTTGGCTAATAACTTGTTTTGTAATGTTCGAAAATATACAGAACACAATGAGAGGGTCGTACAGGGGAACTCTGGCGATACGTGATTAGCTGATTTTATTTTTCGGGAAACGTGAATTTAGGAAATTAGCCTTCGTGATCCGCCACTTGAAGTTTTTTCGTGACCCGTGAAGAACTAGAATTATTAACCGATATTCGTGATTTGACCACTCTGTTCTACGTGATTTTGAGACGCGTGTCCTCAGGGAGATTCATTAAGACTAAAAACATCCGAATGTGACCTCTGTATAATTATGGCACTACCTATCGAGAGTGATTTGGATTTGGGATTTGTAATATGAAGCCTTAACATAGCCTTTTACGATTTTGCTTTCTTTACTCTCTCTTTCTAGCCTAAGAGCGGGTTATTAAAAAGAAAACTTTACTTGCTTATTTTCTTGATTCGGGAAAATGAAATTTTAATTTCCGTGATCTGCGATTCGCTATTTTTCCCATTCGTGAACCGTGCCAGAGCGGGCATAAATTTATTTTGGGCCGGACTCAGATTCATTTTTTTTTTTAACTCTGAGAAGGGCCCAAAACATATTTATGCCCAAGAACACAAACTCTGTTACTATTATTATCACTTTAAAGGGCATTGATAAGATAAAAATTGAAAACAATGACAACAAAACCGTCTGAACAATCACGCGAGCGTTTACAAGTTGAATGGCTTTTATTTTCCCTCAATGAAAATACACAATACATCAAGCGAACCTGGTTAGAAATTACAAAATCTTGCCATTTGAGTTTTCAAAAATTGTAGAAGACATGAAAGGAAAGTTCCATAAAGCTTATCTCTAAGTGTTGAAATTAATTGCACAATTGCTAAACTGACAATTTTCATTGGTTTATTTCAGCGGGCTAAAATACAGTTTAGCCCGTCAAATTCTCCATTTTAGCCCGCAAAATGCGCCACAATGCCCGACACAGTGATAATAATGGAAGTTCTTTAGTGCATATTTTGCTTCTGTAAACAACGTCTAATTTCTAGCATTTCATTCTCCTTAAAACTTTCAATAAGTAATTTTTGATAGTTTTGAGTTTTTAGGAAACTGAAGTGGTTGAGAAAATAGAGTGTATTTATTTATTTTTTCTATATATTTTAGATTGTGAAATAATATGGCCGCAGGGAATCGTTAACGAAGACTCTTTGCCTCTTAACTTATTCAAACCTTCTTTATGTGCCTTTATCTTTAATCATTAATCACCAGAGCACATCTTTCACAGTATGTGTACTAGACATCATGGCTGCGATTAATGAAAAAGCCTTTCTTTTTTTCACTTCAATTTATTAGAGTGTGTCTACTGAAGTTTAAAACGGACAAGTCAAGGTCGAGAAATCTGTCGCAGCTTGAAGCGTATGGGAGAGTGTCAAGGGATTTCACAGACCACATTGATACAGATAAAGAAAAACTGAACTTAGTCCATTGATGAGAATCGCACTTGGCAATCACGTTTCTGACAAATCTCGCTATCTGGGACATTTATCGAGACATCGCGTAAACGTAATCACGAACTGCGACACGACTATTGAAACCAAACCCACGTCTCAATTTTTTCCAACGACCACTTAAGTAAAACGTTAATCAGAAAGACA